CTAGTGATGGGTTGGCTATGAATCAGCCTGTGAGGGCGTGCTATGAAAATCAGCCCTGGTGAGGGCGTGGCTATGAAAATCAGCCCTGGTGAGGGGCGTGGCTATGAAAATCAGCCCTGGTGGTGGGCGTGGCTATGAAATCAGCCCTAGTGCGCGTGGCTGCACAGCGCATCTGCACAACCCATGCGTTCAGTCGCGGAGGGAAAGAACAGAGCAGCCTTCTCATCCGCCGTGAGAGCTCTAGTGCTCTACAGGAGATTCGGGCCGGTGGCTCTAAAGGAAACAGAGTCGCCGACATTCAGGATGGGATTCGGGTCTGGAGAGTGAGGATGATGTTCCAGAAGAAGACACCTTCACTGTATTTAATCAATGCAGATGGTTGTACCAACTTAAAAAAAAATAACAATCCCCTGAAAATAAGCCCTAGTGTCTTCCTGGGAAAAATAAATATAAGACCTGTCTTATTTCTCTGGGAACATGGTATACTGATACTGCAGGGAATTGCAACACAGTGCTAACATTCATATCTAACAAGAAAAGTTAATGTGTTGTTCCATGATGTCACTAGGCAATAGGAATTTTTCAGCTCCGTTTATGGAACCACAGCCATATATACAGTCCATTATTGATCAGAATGTCATTAGCAGGTCATGACTATACTGTAACTTTTTTTTTTTTATCTTGTAACTGAGAAGGCCACCGAGTAACTAACACAAGTCACATGTGCAGAATAGACACGCTGGACAAAAGGATGGTCCACATCCTGGGTGGAGAAGCAGCAAGACGATGCAAGATTTCATCACGCTACCAGAATTTGGTGCAAAATTTAAAACCGAGGAATCGTTTATTTCTGGAGTTTTTCGTTTAGTATTTTTGGACCACAGTTGATCCAGTGACGAATCTATGGGTAAGAGGGGGCACTACTGTATTGCTTTAATAATTCGGTTAATTAATCTACTCATTAAAAATGCTTTAGATCCTAGCTCTCTGGGAGCCGAGGCGGGTGGATCGATCAAGGTCAGGAGTTCGAAACCAGCCTGAGCAAGAGCGAGACCCGTCTCTACTATAACAGAAAATTCATTGGCCAACTAATATACATAGAAAAAATTAGCGCGGCGTGTGGCGCATGCCTGTAGTCCCAGCTACTCGGAGGAGCTGAGGCAGGAGGATCGCTTGAGCCAGGAGTTGAGGTTGCTGTGAGCGAGGCTGACGCCACTGCACTCACTCTAGCCTGGGCAACAAAGCGAGACTCTGTCTCAAAAAAAAAAAAAAAATCTTAAGAGAGACCTTCATGGTGCTATTTGGCTATTTAGGAGAGGAGCTATTATCTCCTCTTACTAAACAGACTTAAACCTTCACTCCTGTAGAACGTTAAATGCTGCAGGCAGAATTTTAATTCCACAGATGAAACGCTGACCGATTCAATCTTTCGTATTGTCTTCAAGTCTAACGCAACGCCAGTCTCACGCATGCAGAACTCGCTGATGTCTAACTCCTCACCATCCTCACCTTCCTATTTTCCGACCACACTGAACCACATGAAACCACCTCGGAAAGCCCAGGTTGAAATCTTACCTCTGTGCGTTCACTGAGATGGATGTGAAAATCCTCAATACAAATAATAAACATGGCTCTTTACGATGTTCCCATTGGGTGTCACGGACTTTACGTACATTGTTTCAATCTTTAGAACACGTTCAAGGTAGGTATATACCCATTGTAGGGTAACAGAGTTGAGGCTCAGAGAGATCCAGTCACTCACCCAGAGTGAGTGATGGCCAAATGGTGTGACACCCCCACCGCCCTCCAGCACCGCCCTGTCCCAGTCTTTCCACTCTGACATCATTGCCTCTAATCAGTTTCTTAGGTTCTTGGCTCATCATCCTATATACCCTTATTCGCACCGCTGCGGAATAAAAGTCCAGAGAGAAGCACACATACATTTGATCACGGAACACTTGGCCTTCTAACTCACTTTATTGTGGGATTCAGGTGAAAGTGGGCTTTCTGGCAGCCGTCTGATTCCACTCCCATCTTTCAAGGTTGTTGACAGGAGGTGCTGCTCTGATTGCTAAGATACCTAGGTAGGCATGCCCATTCCAGGGCCTCTGCTTGCAGTTCCAATATTTAATAGCGTGGAGACCTATTTTGTCCTATTTCATGTATTCAAACTCTCTCCGCATGCCAAGTGCATTAGCTTTTATTCTGACCACTAAGACTTGGAGAACAGCCGGTCACTGCCATCTTTATAAATACCCTTCATATGGTCTAAGGCGGCACTGTCCAAGAGAAATAGACTGTGAGCCACATACGTGATTTTAAATTAATAGCAGTCACATTTTTAAAAAAAAAAGTAAATAGTTAAATTCATTTTAATAATGGATTGGTTTCCTCTGATACTGTGAACACACACAGCACAAACTTGGTGACTTGAAACAATGCATTTCTTTGTTGAAGTTCTGGAAGCCAGAAATTCAGCAGCTCTGGGCTGAAATGCAAATGTCAGCAGGGCTGCACTTTCTCCAGAGGGTCTAGGAGAAGTATTGTTCCTTGTCCCTGCTTAGGAGCCTGGTGGCTGCTGGCATTCTTGGCTTGTGGCCGTGCACTCCTGTCTCTGCCTCATCTCCACCTCACTTCCTCCTTTGTGTGTGTGTCTAACCTGCTCGTACCTTCTTCTTACAAGGAGCACGCGATTCCATTTATCTCGGACCTACCGAGATAATCCAGCACAATCTCCCCAATTAAACTTTGAATATCCTTAACTTTCATCCAGCTCCAAGAATCTTTTTCTAACTAAGGTAATGGTTTCAGTTTCCAAGGGGTTAGGACCTGATATAATTCTTTAATTTTATTTACTTTTTTTCCCAGCATACTATGGAGGTACAAATGTTTAAGGTTACGTATATTTGCCCTTGCCTTCCCCTCCCGAGTCAGAGCTTCAAGCGTGTCCATCCCCCGATGAATGACCATTGCATTCATTATGCATATATATCCATCCTCTCCCATCTGCCCGAACCGATAAATGTTATTCCTATGTGCACTTAGCTGCTGATCAGTTAATACCAATTTGCTGGTGAGCCACGTGGTGCTTTATTTCTCCATTCTTGGGACACTTCACTTAGTAGGATGCGGCTCCAGCTCCATCCACGAAAACACAAGAGGTTCTGGATCACCGCTGTTTCTTAGAGCTGAATAGTGCATCCATGGTGTACACAGACCACATTTGATTAATACACTCACATATTGATGGGCACTTGGTTGTTTCCACATCTTTGCAACTGTGAATTGTGCTGCTATAACATTTGAGTGCAGGTGTCTTTTTCATAGAGTGACTTTTGATCTTTTGAGAAGATGCCCAGTAGTGGGATTGCTGGATCAAAGGGCCTGATATTTTTTTGAAGGGACCTTATTATCAACTACTACCAACAATTATTTTTATTTGACCCAGTGTATACCAGAGTGTTTCTGTTCCAATACGTAATCAATATTCTATGCTAAATCTTCTAAACCCAGTGTGCTTTCTTGTACTTACAACACGTCTCAATCAGAATGAGCCACGTTTCAAGTGTCGATAGCCACACGTGGCTACCATATTGATCAGTGTAGAAAGGAATGCTTTCGTTTTCTCATCTCGATTTTCTTCCTTGCTCAGAGCTAGGTAGCTCAACTAGCTTCTGAGCTAGCTGAGTTCAACTGGCTTCCTCGGTAAAGTTGTCCTCATTCAATTTTTCCCCTTTTATCACAATGGCAGATGTCCTGTCTTCTACCTCAAAGGATTTCTGTGAGGGTTAACGTATAAACCTATTTGGAAAATTGAACTACCTCATGGTTCCTTCAAGAGCCAGCCACATTTACTGCCGAAGTGTCTTCTTGCATTCTGTAGTGGTAACATTGGCTCATACACTCGTCCTAACTGGCACTTTACAAAACGCAAATATGAAGGTTGAAGGCCCTCTGCAGGCTATAGTTTGGAGTATTGAGCAGTATACGCTGGTCATGGTAATACAGAATAATGGATCAAGTTCAGCAGAAACACTGAAATGTCTCCATTTCAGCATGGAAACTCATTCATTCGACATTGTCCTGCGTCCACAGGTACAATGTGAGGTGTGCAGATGCAATGCTCTATGGTAACAAAAAAAATACATATGTTTCCTCTCCCAGGGCAGGTGTCTCAAACTCCGGCCCGAGGGTGACAGGTGGCCCGCCGAGCATTTTTGCCACCCGCTGCTTGTCCTGCTTAGCACCGACTGGTCGGGCCCGCAGTGCGCATGTGTGAATGTGCACCGCACTCCCAATGCCCTCAACGGTTGAGGGACAGTGGAGTGCCCACTGTTTAAGAAGTTTGAGGACCCCTGGTTTAGAGTCTAGAAGAGAAGGTAGAATAAACAAGAAATGCAACTGGAACATTCTACCAAGGAGCAGAACGTGTTCTTTTCCTAAAGAGAGGCGATCCGTGTTGTCAAGGAGGTCAGAAGTCTCTTGAGGAAATGATGAATAGTGAGCATCAAAAAAAAACTATATCAGTGAAGAGACAAGGAGTGGACCTTGCAGGCCAGAGCAGCTCCTGCACGGACCCTTCCGTGGAGAATCCAGGAACAACATGGTGCACAAAGAGCAGGAGGGCAGGAGGGAGGAGGAGATCGATCACGTAACGGTGAAGAGTTTTATCTTCTTTTTCCTAAAGTAAATGGTAGCCACTGCAAGTTCTGTGCTTGAGGGAAGATCCCTCTGCTACAGCCTGGAAGACAGGCTGGAGGGAGCAAGAGTTATAGTTCTAGATGGAGCAGTGAGGGGCACTTGTCACAGAGGTTTACACACACACACAAAAGGCAAAGAGTG